ATAGAAAATTTTTAAAAATCCCTTTGGTTATTCCTTCTCTTCATTCATATAATGGACAAGTAAGATTTTAATTCAGATTTTTCCTCTGGGATGCTACAGCTTCACATGAGCTCTCAAACCTAGAGTTCTGATTTTTATTTCATCCTCATTCCACCTGACTGCTACTCTGCAAAAATAATTTGCACTGTGAGTACTCCCCCTTAACTTGGCATAGGTATTTGTGAAGTGGGACAAAAGCCAAATTCAGGGAAAAATTTATTCTGTCCCATCCCCACACTTTTATTCATTCATCTGTTATGCTTAAAAATCAATTAGCAATGTGCATGCCTTTCCCCAGGTTTCACTACATGGGCAGACCAAGCCAACTGCACTCTCCCTGCTCGTGGAGTTCTTTTCTCTTGTGACATTTCACAGTCATTTTTAAAAATGCTCATGCTTACATTTTACCATTCTGTCCTCTTCCTTTTTCCTAATCACCTGCCTTTTCTCCCACCTGCCTTCTTAGGATATTATATTTGAGGTTGACCTTTTGAGTTTTCTCCTTGTAAAAATATACTATGAAGTAATTAAAAGGTATTACAAAATAATTACAGATTTGCAGAAAAGTAACAAAACATGTACAACAATGTCTTACGTGCTCAGCTTCCCACAATATTAATAACTTGTGGTATAATATTCAACTGGATGGTATAAATATTCAACCAATTACATTGGTACAAGCTAGGAATCTTAGTCAGATTTTACTGGGACTGATTTTAAAATAATCATTGTTTACATTTGGAAACCTTCAGTTACAATCATAGTAAAGATTGAAATTTATTTCATATATTTGTGTGCATCTGAAAGTGAATTCTCTCTCTCTCTCTCTCTCTCTCTCTCTCTTTCTCTCTCTCTCTCTCTCTTCCTCCTCCACCTTTGGGGAGAAGAGAGAAATTATTTTGAGGAACAAATGGGAGAATATTATGTTTAAATACTGTTAATAAGTTGTCTAATACTTAATATATTTCAAAAAATATATTGTAGCAGATTTTTACTCTTTCCTTTCAAGAAAAATGTCTCATGAATGGGGCACTAAGACAGTAGGTAAAACTACTTTTATATTTCAGAATTTTGAGCAGAAGGATTGAGATGTATAGTACTTTTAGCAAAGTTTCATTTGAAGGTATGAAAATCATAGTCACTGAGTTAGAAGGAGACTTGAGGTCAACTGGCACGTAGCACATGTATTCTGAAAGACATTTCAGACAGCCTTTAAATCTCTGATTAAAATTTCAGATGACGGAAACACAATGCCTTCCGATTCAGCCTTTGTCTAGACACCTCTCCCTGTTTAAAAGTTCTTTATCATCTAATAGGCTGAAATCACCCCCCTGATCTTGGTCTGACATCTGGTGCCTAAAACAATGGAGAAGTGAAAAGAATTACCATTGCCCTAAATAGTCTCTATTCTCAACAAATCAAGTTCTTCTTTAACATGTTCCTCCCATGCAAGATTGCTCTTTCTTGTTGTGTTTATTGGGTCAGAATCCACCTGGGCATGGGCTAAACAGCACAGTCAAGAGCTGGAACAACCAACTCTTCTCCTTGCTCAGTAGAAGGTAATTACATGAATGTCCCTGCAATCGCAGCAGCAGGCTTTCATGCCTCTACCCCCATCCATTGCCTTACATTACTCCTGGAATCAACCGATAAACCCAGGATCTTTTTTGCAACTTTTGATATTTAAAAGTCCTTTGCTGCTGCACATGTACAGCTAATTTTCTGGATATAGGAGCAGGACTTCATGCAGATTCTTATTAAATTAGGCCTATTGTATCACTCTATTGAGTTTTTTTTATATACTGACTCTATCACTTAATATATTTACTGTCCCTGCTGCCTCCACATTGGCTGTAACCTTTATAAATAGTCCTTGATTCTTTTCTCAAAATTTCCAAGAAAACACTTGAACATAAAAGGATGAAAAGGAGATCATTAGAAAGCTATAAATTCTAACTGTAACATTTTGACCTGTTAATGTTACAATTTTAATTCCGCATTCAAGTGTAAGTTTCACTGTGGGTTGACATAGAAGTAGCCACAGCACAAAAGATCCCTGCACTGTCTATAAAATTGACTCAATGTCTTATTTATAAAAATCCCGAAGGGAATTTATTTTGGAGCTCAGGAATAGGAGAAAAAGTTCTCCCGATGACAGCTGAACGGGTTTGACTTTCTTTCTGTTTTGACTTATAAGAAGCTAAAAGGAAAAAAACAAAATCGATTCCTCAAATGCTGTATCTTTCTTTATTTCTGTTTATTGATTTTCCCCCTTCAATCTTACTTCATTGCCTAACCTGTGTTAACAGTTCTGTATTAAAGTGTTATTTTTTATACCAGATATCATGTCACACTTCTCCTCAATGCACTCAAGACATAAAAATAAACGAGGATATCATTAGGATGTCTCTTCAGATGTTTAAATGTCCATGGACAGTTATTTTATTCTTTAATTCTTGGGAATTATCTTGAGTTTTGATACTAAAATAAAATTTTCTTATTTTAGTATTTTTTATTTTCTTAGTCCTCTAAATCACTTCCTTCCAAACTTTGTACTCAGTTGAGAATGACATATTCTAAAAATCTTTCATATTAATTTCCCTACATGGTACCTTTTTACAAGCTAGAAATAATTTGATAATTTGCTTTTACTTTTTTTTTTTTTTTTTTGCTTCTTCCATTACAGAGCCAAAATTTAAAAAAAATTTTTTTTTCATTAAATACTGCTACCTTCCTGGAATTATTTATATGGAAAAGACCTCTGAATTTGGCATTAAAAGCCCAAGCTTCTGTAATTGAACAGACTATTTATGTAACTGTAAACAAGTTACAAGAAAATGACTTTTCTCATTTCAGAAAACTATCTGTTAAAACATATATAACTTACTTTTAAACTACCTTTGAAATAAATTGATTATAATACATACTTTGGTTACATGAAGGTTCAGTGTTTTAAACTATAATTTTAGAAGCTCAGTAAGCCTGTAGGATGGTTAGCCAGCATTATATTAGAAAGGCAACATTCTAGTCATTATTGCTAAAATAAAAGCATTTTTATACTTATTTTATACTTATTTTGATGAATAAACAATGCTTTGCTTATTAGCAAAATATGCCAGAAATGGATTTTCTTTGGTGAAATCGGTGACCTACTAACTAGCACAACATACTATAAATGGTATATGTGTATAAATGTATATAAGTCTATAAACTTAATTGGTAAAACTATAGGTTTTAAATATATGTGAAATATTAAAATCTTTTGAGGATGTTCGCTTTCATTAACAGTGTCCCTTAGCCTTTCCACAGGGTCAAGGTGGTATCAAAATTTGATCTCTAAACCAACCTATTTCCAATTGTCATTTTAATAGGATTTCTGGTTGTCCGAGACTGAACACAAAGAAAATAAAATCCTTACCTTGATATGTCCTATCTGACTCAAGTGAGTCTTGTTTTCAAGGCTTTGATTGAAACACATGAATGGAGAGAGAACTGGGATTTTATCAGTCTTATGGTAGAGTTGGTTATTACCTTGTTGCTCATAAATGCTTGCTATAACAGACCTATATGTGTAGTAGAATTTTGCTGTAAGACATTGCAGAAACATTTCATGGGGGCTCCTAACCTCAACCCCTCAACTTTCTTCAGTAGCCACCCTTCCCTACCGGAGCAGTGTATGACCAGATGATCACAGAACAACTAAGAGACATTTTCCTTGTCTATAATTTTCAATAGTGTCCTTATCATCAGTTAGTAGTACTAAGGTGTAGGGGATATTAATCAATAATGGCATGGATATTGAGGGGTGGAACTCTTTCTTCCTCCACACCCACACCCTGGTCCTCACAAGGTAAGTTCCTGGAATGGATGAGTGGCTATGAAATGCCTGCAGCTGTGTTCCTGCAAATGTGCGGCCAGAAATTATCAGTTAAAACATCCTTATAAAGTTACAGTTACTGAAAAGTCAATAAAAAAGCTTATCTTGCAAGCACCATCACATAGAGAAAAAAGTAAATAAAACAGTTACTTTAAATTTGGACTGCTGAGATAACAAATATTCATGGATCAATAATTTTAATGTTTTTTGGAAAACTATATTGTTAAATCAAAAGTTTTGAGTAGTATAAACTATTTTTCACACTAAAAATAAACCAAATAAACGAAATTCAAGATGTAAAAGCAGAAGAATTTTACTCCCTAGTTACCAATTAAATATCACATTCCAAATGAATTTGATTCTGGTTACCATGTTCTAATCATAAATCAGTATAGCTACAGAGAACCCAAATCTACCTTATATATTATTTTAGGTCTTTCTTCCTGTCTGTCTGTCTTTCTTCCTGTCTTATCTCATCTTGTCTCATCTGTTCCTTTCCCTTCCCTTCCCTCCTCTCCCCTCTTCACTCCTCCCTTCCCCTCTTCTCCCCTCCCCTCCCCTCCCCTCCCCTTCCCTTCCCATTCTTTTCCTTTCCTTTTTTTCTTTCTTTGATTCTTGACTTTTGAGACTGGGGTTCACTATGTGGTTCATGTTGGTGTTACTCTGCTGGCCTTAAAATTATAAGTGCATTTACTTTTGAGTTATATATAAGCATTAAAATTATCCTTCTTCAATTAAAATGAAAGGCAGACCCTATAAAAACTTTTACTTAAAAATGTGTGCATTTGTTTCTAGCAACTTGAAATTATTATGACCTCCAAACATTAGTTCAATTACTGTAAGTTGGGAAAATTGCTTGGATGATTTTCCAACTAGTTGGTATTTATCACACCTGAATAAGATGAAATTAAACGTAAAAATACAACATTTATGCCTTTATAGATTCAGTATCCATCAAATTCAGGAAACTAGTCAGATACAAAATTACGGTCTGTGACGAGATTTCAACACAGACTTTAGAAACAGCGAGGTGGGGAAAGGACTGTACCTACGGAGAAAATGGGTGGTCATTTTAGGAACGTACCACTCCGTTCACGGAGAGCAGTTGGTCTCCTCTTTTGAGTCCTCCATGTCTTTCAGCCACCCCTCCAGGAATGATGCGAGAGATGTAAATTGGGGAATTTTGCTCCTTTCCTCCCATCACGTTAAAACCAAGGCCTTCATCCGTCTTTGGCAGTTCCACTACGCGAGGGTGAGAGTGGCCTTCGCTAGCTGCAAAAGCTGCGACTGTTGCCTGAAAGAAAAGACGGTCTTTTGGTAATAAAATGAGGGAGACAAAGAGGATCATATGATTTGCAGGAGGCAGCTGAAGCGACTTCTTACACTTTTATAGCATCTCCTGTGAAACAAAGAACACAAAGGTAGGAGGCTATCTTTATTTAGCTGCCATCTATAATTCCTTTCTGCAAAACTCCACCCAGTTCTCTCTGGCTTCCTACAGCTCATCCCCCATGATCAACACTCCTTGAAGAATTCTCTCACAGTCATCTTACTTAGATGCACATCCTATTTCTGGCCTCCAGATAGTTTTGGTACATGTATTACATCGGATGATACTTATTTTGTTCATGTGTTGACTATGGGCACCCTAAGGTCAGATTTTATCTTGTATTTTTTAGTACAACACAGTCTGACTTGATTCTGCACATAAACAAATGTTCATAAACAGTAAACCGAAGAGCACTTGCATGTGTATTCTTGAGAGTGCATATTTAATCTTGCTATTGATGGACCATTGATTGTGTAAATTTAAGATTTTTTTTTAAATCCGTGATGTCTAAACTAGAATGAAAATGAAACAAAAAATTCAAAGAGATTACTATGTCATACCAATATTCTACATTACTTTGTGAAATCCTTTATCTGGCATAGAATTTTTTTCCTCCATTTTACATTAGAATTTAAACTCCTAGAGTGACACAGGCAAAATGAACAGTCCATAGCTTTATACCTAAATTTAACAAAATTCACTTAATATGAACATAACTTTATTTTAAAATGCATGTTAATTCCTTTAAATAAGCACAAGAAAACAACTTACCATTAGTTCCCACCCACCACAGAAAAAAATAGCTTTTGTGTAGTCTCCACTCAAGAAGAGATTCTCTGCCTGCTTCTTATTTTCCAACTCCCCATAGCCCGTCTTAACCACAGTTGATTAGATGCCTACTCTAAAGTGATTTACTCAACACTGTGAAAATATTGATTCCCAACGACTATACATTCTTTTTCCACACACAGCATTATCACATCAATTTAGCATTATGCTACTGCCTGCATTTAGTGAGAGATAGTGAATGATATGGAAATAATGGCTTGTTTTTAGCTACATGCATTAGCTCATGCAAATCTTGTCATCATGCATAAGTTTTAATGGCTGACATGGATGCAATGCAGACAGCCCAGAAACAACCAGAAAATATTGTGCTATTGCAACATTATGCTGCTATCCTGCTGTTCTACATGAATAAGAAATGAGAATGGTAAAACACTACATAATTCACTTTCCCCTTAATTAAACCATGTAGGGATCATTTGTCTGTGTGTGTTCCACTTCAGTACAAGCAAAGCATGATGTGATGGTAATAATACTCTTTTTTCCTGGGTTAGAAACAAATAAAAATAAAACTATATTGTTCAGTAACAGAATGAAAAACTAAAAAAAAAAAAAAAAAAAAAAAAAAAAAATCAAGAGAGAAACCAAACAACAGGTGATGTAACACAAAAGAATTAAATGTAAAATTCTGATTATTTTCACTGGTTCTTATTTCTTATATATATATTATTAGGAAGGCAAGCACTTATAAAAGGCAAGTTGGGTTCTACTGTAACATTTTTGTATTTCCTGAATATGAACTGCATTGAGGAGATTAGTTTAAAATTATTTTTTCCTTATGGACTATCTTCCAGAAAATTTCAGGATCCTCTCACTGCATCATTTTCATTAGTAGGAGCTCTGTATTCTACAGATTTGAGTTGCTAAAGAAGAAAAGCAGTCACTATCACAGAAGGTGACAGCCTTCCCTGTAGGTCAAAGCCATATTCTTTCACCAAGTTATCCATTGTTGAACTGAATACAAAGAATCTGCAACAGTGGGTTCAGGTCAGTGCTTTTCATGTCTCCCATTAACTCTTCAGGCCCGTGCAAATAAACCATGCACCAATAGGACACGGGTTCTTTTGGATCAGAGAACTGTGTCAGAAACCATGTAGCATTTTATAAATGAACCAGTAGATTTGCTTGTGCCAAATGGACGTTTAGTGATTTTAATGAGATCATTCTCCTTTCTTAAGCTACAGAAGCAGCAGAAACGTTCAATTTTCCATTAGGATTTTTACCTGGGAAGTAGTAATGGTTCTAGACTCTGGGCTGCCACTGATGTCTAAATTCTCTTACAGTGTACACACGAGAATACCTGCAACACACACGCGCACAGTCAATTACTAGGTCACCAGGGTGAAGGATTTCTTTAAAGTGACACAAGCCTTACCTTTGCTGTGGCCCTTGCACGAAATTCGGGACAGCCATTAACAGTTATCGTTTCATGCATATATTGATATACCTAAAATGTTCACATAAAAAGAAAGAATGGGTTAGAATATTAATATGAAAAATATCAATTCTTGCACTGCGGGCAGGACAATCAGTTTTCTTTGAGGGACAGAAGTTCCCTATCACAAGTGAAATAGGTCTGAATTAATTATCCTGCTGATCTGGACCAAACTGCAGCAGGGAAAGCAATCACATTTATTGATAAGTTTTTAATTTGTCCATACATATCACATATAAATACTTTATATTTGGATTTATAAAAACTATTTCATCAAGTAACATTTTTATTATTATACATTGCTGCAGCTATAAAGTAAGTTATGTATATAGTTACTTTTTGAATCCTGAAATATATTAAAACTAGTGTTCTAAACTGATATTCTACAAATCTGGGATCAGAATGTCTCATCCTTGGCCCAACCTCCAGCATTTTGGAAGGTCTGTTATTGAATGATACACATATGCAATTTTGTATAATTACAACAGTCTACTCTGCAATCTATTTCACATTAATAGGAGCAGGTAGGATAGTCAATGAATGCTTTAAGCTTAGATATTAAAATGGTATTCCAGACTACAGGCAAGAAAAGAAAGAGATTCTTAGAACTAATAACACAGAGCATTATGTCAGCTATGTATTCATACTACAATTTAGATTAAATAGAAAGGATGGTGGTAAAATCTGGATTCCCAAGAATGATGCAGAAAGCATACAGGTTTTGCTGACTAAATATAACACAGACCTATGTTTGTGCATCACAGTATAATTGGGAAACTCTGAAGTCTTGTTTCCCTACACTGTCCTGCTTTCTGCCCAACTGAAAAATGAGTGAAAAATATTTATTTAGTAGGGTCATCTTTATTTGAGATAAGACCTCAAAGGCATCTGAATCTTAACATCACATTATTACTAATTTTCATTTTAGATACAAGAATAAACATTATGGAAACATGGTAGATAAAACAGTTTCCTTCAAAACTTCTGGGGATGGGAATATAAAGTCTGTACCAGCTGTGAAATTAAATTTTCATTGTAAATAAGGCGAAGTATTGAGAATGATTTTTTAAGGTATAGTTTGAAGAAGACATCTGAAAAAAATAGAAAAAGGTTATATACGTTGCACTATATGGTCATTCCTAATTTGAGCAACAAGGTTGTTAAGTCTATTGAATAATACATAAAGGTAAAAAGCCACGCGTTGTTATGCTGAGGTATTTTTGAGAGACTCACTAGCCATCTCAATAAGGAATAAAATAGGGAAACTGCTATTAATGTTTGAATGGGTATTTTTGCTCTTTCAATTGAAGTTATTTCAAATGTGTAGGTCAAAGGTCAGTATGGTGAATCCAAAAGCTGATAAACTCATCAGTTAAACAACTACTTCTCTAGTGTGTAGGCCGGGTGTCTTCCTAATATTTTTGGTTGACTCATTGTCTCTCAAGTACCTGCTGGCTCACCTCTGAGTCATGTTTCCCAAGTGATCTGATCAGAAGGAAACAACGTGATCTGAATTAAAAATTTAAGACTTGTTGGGAGCCGCAGCCCCGAGCCCGGTCGCCTCACTTGGCGGACGTGAGGCCTGTAGTAAAGAGTGAGGCCTGAGGTAGATTACCCCTCCCATCGAATATGTTAGTTTCCTGCTTACCGCGTAAACAACCCGCTCAACAATATAGTCTGCCTGGCAACTGATGATGTTAGCCAATCAGCTTGCCTTGCTTACTTTAACATGATTGGACACTGTACCCGTATATATACCGGTGCCACCCCTGGGCGGAAGTAGAAGCCAGATAGAAGCCCGGAAGTAGAAGCCCAAAAGGAGCCGCGGAGAGCGGACCGGTAGAGGCTTTGGGGCAGACTGAAGCACAAAAGGAGCCGCGGGGAGCGGACCAGAGGAGGCTTCAGCTGGGAGAACCCAGGGCAGGCTGTACGGAGAAGGAAAATAAAAAGAAAAGGTTGTCCACTACCAGACTTTGTCGTGTGTCCTTCCTGCCGGCCGGGAGCGGACATCGACATTTGGAGGCCCGCCCGGGGACTGATCACCCCCGCGACGTGGAAGTGGACAACGCTCCAGTACAGAGCTGCGAGACAGGTGAGTTGGGGATAAGCCTGGGCTCTGGGTGGCGCGCACCTACAGGGCTTTTAGACTCCCCTCAGGCTCACGCGTAAGTGGCGGATTCCTTGGGCCTCACGCGGTGAGTAACATATTAAAAAATGGGAAACATGCTAGGTAGCGGCACTAAGAGCGAGGGTGGTTGTGGAGAAAGCTCTCAAGAGCTTACAAAAGTACGCAGGGTATCTGAGCAGGCCCAGTCAGGGAGCTCCCGAGAGGTGTCTGTCAAGGGGAACAAGGATGCTAAGGAGGAGGACGGGGCTCTAGCCTCGGAGTCGTCTGACTCCGAGGACGAGGGAAAGTTGAATGGCAGGGAGGCCAAAGAGACCAGCTGTCAGGAGCCTAAGTCGCTCAATAAGGAGTCGCAGGGTTCTTTTCCAGCGTCACGCCGCGAATTGCGCTCTGCTCAACCTGGTCTGCGGAGGAGTAGAGAGCTCCTGAGTGCGCCCCGGCGCGAGAGGGAGGCGGTCCCTCGCCACGAGGCGGCCGCCTGGGAGCTCCCTCCCCTTTCGCCAGAACAGGAAGTGATGCACGGGCCCCCATTTTCCGCCCAATCACGGCCGCCGTCTTATGCTCCGCCGCCGGCGGGTCGGTATTTTTACAGGCGGCTTTGGCAGGGGGGACGCTTGTCTCATGAGGTACATCCACCTGGGATAGATAGTGGCCCCTACGAGATATTTCCTGTACAAGTAGCTATGGGCCAGGGACGCAATGTATGGGAGCCTTTTGAGATAAAGCAGATTAGAGAACTTAAAAATGCAGTTACAACCTTTGGGCCGACTGCGCCTTACACCATTGCCATGCTGGAGAATCTGTCTTCTGGGCCCCTCACCCCCGCGGACTGGATTCAGCTGGCAAAGGCCTGTCTGCCCTCGGGCAGTTACCTGGATTGGCGAGCCTGGTATGCAGAGTTCTCTGCCGAGCAGGCTGAGAAAAACGCCAATCGAGGAAACCGGGGGTGGAACAAGGAAATGCTTATGGGAGAAGGTCGGCACGCTGATGACCAGACCCAGTTCCCCGGCGCTGTCTATGAGCAAATCAATGCCATAGGACTCCGCGCCTGGAAGCAAGTAAGTGGTGCTGGAACAGCCTCCTTGTGTCTTTCAAAAATAATTCAGGGTACCACAGAGCCATTTGTTGACTTTGTGGCCCGAATGCAAGATGCTGCCGATAAGATATTTTCTGATCCGGGAGTGGCTCGACCGCTGGTAAGGCAGCTGATTTTCGAACAGTGTACAAAGGAGTGCAAGGCAGCGATAGCTCCTCATAAGAACAAGGACCTCAATGCCTGGATTAGGATATGCAGAGAGATAGGGGGGCCGCTCTCCAACTCGGGAGTGGCTGCTCTCCTGGCCGCGGCTATACAGCAGAGGGGACCTCGCGGGTTAGAAGGGGAATGTAAGGCTAAAGGGTGTTTTGCCTGCGGGGAGCCAGGACACATTAAACGTCACTGCCCAAACAATGCAGATGCTAGGCCTCGCCCTAGGAATGAAGAACCATATGTTTGTGGGCGATGCAAGAAGGGATCACACAAAGCTGAGGAGTGTAGGTCGGTCTTTGATGCTCAGGGCAACCGTATTTGTGGACAAGATGCTAGAGAGCCAAAAAACGGCCAGAGGGGGCCCCCTTCACAGGCGGGCCCCCGCCCCAGAGACAGGACAGCTCAGGGTGGCAGCCTTCAACAAGGGCCACCCCTGGGTCAGCAGGTGTGGACCTCAGTGTCGCCTCAGGACTTATATTAGTGCCTGATATGGGTGTTCAAGTGGTTGAAACCACTTTTAAGGGACCGTTACCCAAAAATTCCGTGGGTCTGGTGATCGGGAGATCCTCCACGGCCCTTCGGGGTCTCACAGTAGTCCCGGGGGTCATAGACTCAGACTACACAGGACATATTAAAATTATGGTTCAATCTCTTGTGGGTACTATGGTAATTAATAAAGGAGACAAGATAGCGCAGCTCTTGCTGCTCCCCAGTCTCCACAAGAGATTTCCCTCAAAGCAGAAAATTAGAGAAAGTCAAGGTTTCGGTTCCTCAGGGGAAGTCTTTGAGGGACTCCATATGACACTTGATAAAAGGCCCATGCTCTCACTTAAGGTCAATGGCAAGAATATAACAGGGCTCCTAGACACAGGAGCTGACTGTTCCATTATCTCCAGAAAGGATTGGCCTTCCAACTGGCCCACCAACACTGCAGATAACACGCTGCAGGGCCTGGGGATGGTGTCAGCTCCTCAGGTTAGTGCTTCAACCCTGCTCTGGTGCGATGAGGAGGGTCATCAGGGCCATTTCCAACCGTTTGTGTTGCAGTTGCCAGTGTCTCTATGGGGAAGGGACATCCTCACTCAGATGGATGTCACGCTTACGTCAAACTGCTCCCCCCAGGCTAAGGATATACTCAGGAACCAGGGATATACCCCCGGCAAAGGCTTGGGCAATGCCCTGCAGGGTCGGACATCCCCAATACCAGTAGAGAACAAAAAAGGTAGGCAAGGATTGGGTTTTTCTTAGGGGCCGCTGAAGAAGCTCTCCTACCCACTTCGATCAAAATCACCTGGAAATCAAATGATCCGGTTTGGGTACCTCAGTGGCCCCTGCCTAAGGAGAAGCTATTAGCCTTGTCAGAAATAGTCAGTACACAACTCAGATTAGGACATATTAAGCCGTCAACCTCCCCATGGAACACCCCCATTTTTATAATTAAGAAAAAGTCTGGCAAGTGGAGGCTGCTCCATGATCTAAGGGCGGTCAACGCGCAGATGCAGTCCCTGGGGGCGGTCCAGAGGGGGCTGCCAGCTCTCTCAGCCATCCCTCAGTCCTGGCCAGTTTATGTTATAAACCTTAGAGACTGTTTCTTCTCAATTCCCCTGCACCCAGAGGACACTCATAGGTTTGCCTTTA